ATGACTGAGGGTTGTGGATGAGAGTGATATAAAGCACACCTGACCAAGTATCACTAAGGTACCAGTTGTCTGAGAAAAATGTGTGCAATCATCCATCTGGGTCGGACTTGCGGAATGCGATGCGAAAGTTCTGTGAACCAGAAAAGTAAAAGCCGTGTGTCTTGAGCTCAGACGGTTGATAGCCCCAAGGAATTCACGATCATCAAATCCATTCGAGATCTATCATTTATCTGAGTATGTCGAAAGAAGGAGGAGAAGTCATCGTGATGAGCAGAAGCAGATATGATTGACAAGCCAGCGGCTCTGGTTCACAGGACACAACTACAGCGACATCTGCTCTGATCTGAACTTGACGGGGAAATCGTGTTTGTGAAACAAATAAATTGTATGGGGAACAACGGATGGGGTGCGAGGAAAGTACTAGAGAATTGAATTAATGGCAATGATTCGTGGATGCAGTGAGTGGAAGCCCAGATGGCTTATAAGGCAAACGAGTCTTTCCTGGTCATCATCCATAAATATTACTCATCTGGGCTATCCGGTGTGAATGGAGTGCGAGGCGCTTGGTTCGCGGGGAGTCAGAACATATCTCAGAGGAATGTTCACAGAAGATGTTTACCCTTGCGTTAATGAGGTAAAGCAGTCTCGCAAGAAGAGATGGCACGTGAAAGATGAGCGCAAAGTATGGCAGTGAAGACGACACTATAGGACCATCGTCCCAAGTAAACTCGTTTTGCGCAGGGAGCAATTGCGTGAAAAAGGGCAGATAGTTGGATCCGATGGGACCGAGTCCGATGACGATGGTAACAAGTTAATATTTAGGAGATCATGAGGGCGCAGGCGGCGTTGCTGTCGACATTGCACATAAGACACTCTAAATAGGGAACCGTGATGCATGATGGAAGGTGCAGATCACTATCAGATCGGAAATTGAGTTGTGAGATCCAGCTATATCAGCATGCTGGCTAGCTAGTAATATGTGGGATACTTGCATGTGGATTTGAATCCGGTCGGTGCAAAGAGAGGATTATTAATTTGGATGAGTGGTATTGTGATCTCGTATTGGTGATATAGCTAACGATCTGGATAATAGCTTGTGGACCAGGTGAAACGGGAATGATTATATCTATGGCATGAAGGAGGCTTTTAATTATGGAGGCGGTCGCCCTCTGATACGCGTGCGCCTCACTGCCCACCGAGGCTGAGAGAAAATCACATACTTAGTACTACTTAGAGCTTGTTGCACGCGACCTTGAGATCCGTGTACAGTCCTATTCTAGGTCCAGATAAGAAAAAGGTCGTGGGAAAGTCAAAAGTTCACCTCTTTCACAAGCTATGCACCCCGTTCGTGCTTCCCCACGGGCATCGTCGACGTTCCATCGCATCTTCCAGTATCCCGAACGTTTCTCCAACCGGTATCGGGTCTTAATATCAAGATCACAATATTAATACCAGTCATACTGGCATAACTCTATCCCACAACTCAATTCCCGATCAGATAGCAATCTACATTATGGAACGTTGAACCGTCTTTTTTGCAAACGCCGCCCGCGCCCTCATCTTACTTACTACCATCACCATTACACTCGCATCCACTCTCTATCCTTTTGCACGTAATTACTCCCTGCGCAAAACGAGTTGACTTGGGACGATGGTCCCATAGTGTCACCTTCACTGCCACACTTTGCGTTCATCGTTCAACTTCCACAAGCTACGCACCCCGTTCGTGTCTCCCCAAGGGCATCGTCAACGTTCCATCGCATCTTCCAATATCTAGAACGTTCTTCAAACCGGTATCGGGTCTTGATGTCAAGATCACAATATTAATACCAGTCATACTGGCATAGCTCTATCCCACAACTCAATTTCCGATCAGATAGCGATCTGCATTATGGAACGTTGAACCGTCTTTTTTGCAACGCCGCCCGCGCCCTCATCTTACTTACTGCCATCACCATTACACTAGTACTCGCATCCACTCTCTGTCCTTTTGCACGTAATTACTCTCTGCGCAAAACGAATTTACTTGGGGCGATGGTCCATAGTGCCACCTTCACTGCCACACTTTGCGTTCATCGTTCAAACGTTCACACGTGCCATAGATGCATACATCGATGATGTTGGAAATTACTCGGAGTTGCCAACATCACCGAGTGGAACTTTTCTGATGTTGCATTCGCGTGCATGATATTGAGGTTGCAATTCAAAATCAACTTTGATTCAATCTCATCGGAGTTCCGCTTTTTGCTCAATTTCGCACCGCAATACTTACTTCAATTAATCAAGGGTCCTGAGGCGGGCTCAAATATCCATCGCCATTATGCCAATGTGGGTGATACAAGCGCTGAATGGCGGTATATCTAGCACGAACACTATATCGTTATAACCCCCAACATCCCCCACTCGCTCACAACCCATCTCTCGAATATGACCGTTGTCTCAAATAATCCCAGTTGGTGGGCCGTTCATCAGTTTGTCTCTTTTTTTCAGCTATTGGACGGGTTCGTCATATCAGCTGGTGATGTCTCGATCTAACCTTGACTCACGTTTTGCAGTTGCCGCCGGTGTCGTGGTTGTATACGATTGGGGTAGGCAGAACAGTGTTCGAAAACCGCTTATAGTCTCATGATATTTCCAGTGCTGACACTCGGACAAGAGGTCAGTCGGTTGCTATTGCCGGAGCAGCCAACTCGCTAAGATTGATGCTATAGATTGAACTGATCTGGGTGAGTACCAGAGTCTCATATCAGAAGAAAGACAGGTGAATAATGGATTCGCGACAGAGGCAACACGTGGTCTCTTATGACTGTGCTGTATCTCCTTGTTCGTATCAAATGTCATTTTATAGCGTGGTTATGCTAAGTCCAAAATGTTCTAGACACGCTATATTGGAATACCATATTCTGTGTTACGTTTTTAGGTCAAAAAGTCGGTGCTGTACTAATGGCCCATCTCTCACAATTAGTGCTAACATTCTGCGTATGTCTCGTGCACTGTGTTGATTCTTCTGACGGGTGTCACACAGTAAATATGCCGTTGGTCTCGGTGACAGATACAGTGAGTATTCTGCAACCATCTCATTCCCATCCATGAATACACTCATGTGCAGGGGTGAGTGAGATTCTGAACACTGAACTTGGCCCAACATAATGACTCACTAGGTGTTAGTCAAGTATTTGATCTTAGCACAAAGGCGGTCACTAATCGGGTGTTTCAGGCAATATTATGAACTACGCATTAAATGGGACAAATGTGATCGTACCTGCTATGTTGGGCGGTGAGTTACCCAGCGGCAATACCTCAGTGATATTGACTCGACTGAAACATGATGCAAGTCATCATGACTACTCGGTTATATGCCATGTACCAGAGATCTAAATCATCCTTATCTTCCTTGTTATTATCTTCCTGGTTGTTAATATCACCTGTGGAGTAATCGTTGCAATAGTACTCAAGGGCACTGTAGGGGGTAAGCTTTACTTTGTTGACTTGAAAAACAAAGCTCATTGGATAAACACTAGAGGAGCTGATACTCTCTGGCACGTATATGTGCACGTATATACATTATAAGAAGCATGCCTCGCTTCTGGTCGCGATGATTTGGATGCTCGACATTATTTGGGAGGTCCTAGCACTATGCCTTTCAGTCTGGATCACTGTAAAACACACTTCTGTGACCTGCGACGACTCGATTCATCGACAGGATCAACCATCGGGGACTGTTTCAAAGTGCTGACAAAATCTCACGTGCTTTATTTGCATGGTGAGCTTATAACGTGAATGTAGCTATCTTTTCTGATCAAGTTCCGCATGTGCTAGCTATGCTGGTGTCTCTTGCCTCCAACTTGGTTATCAATCTCCAGAGGTCGAGGTGCGCTGACCCATCGCTGACATCTGCTTGTAACTACTGCTCATCATTTCTGTAGAATCGAATTCTAATATTGAAGGTCAGACACTCCAAGGTGGTCTTCAGATTTTATTTGGCATACAGTTGTTTGTGCTGGGACCACGCCTCATCCTTAGTGTTCGAGAATATCACACTAAGCTCGTGGCCCAATCCGACGCAGAAACTAGCATGAATTCGATTGTCTTCCAGGAGCGTGTGCATGTACCGACGAGCGGCACTGTGTAGAGAAATGCTTTCCGAGTGTTCTGCATGGAGGAGATATTTGGTCGAGGATCCGTAATGGTGTTATTTAAGTTGAAATTTTTCAAAGACGAGGTTTATGTAGACATACTCATTTCTTGTTGTATCAACCGTACGCCCACACTTGCACCAAGTGGCGAGCTGAAATTATCGTTTGGGAACCAACCCAGTCCTTATGCCCAACTGAGATGCAACGAGAATCGGTATGACAGTTGATTCGACACGTATACAGAGTTCCGCTGTCTGAGCTCACAGATGATGAAGGAATGACCGCGAAGTATGAAGCCCAGATGACTGATAGCTCATTAATCTGGGATGCGTTTGAATCCATCTGGGCCACGGAGAATAAAAAGGAATGAATCGCTCGGACTCATGGCTCGATTGTATAGCTCTACTACGAATGAGCATAGCAAGGAGGCGAGGTATGCTGAGCGGGGAGTAGCGAATTCAAGAATGAGAGCTTCAATTCAGAAGGCTTCAAGTGCACCTGTCAGACTATTATTAATGAGGCATCGACCACGATATTCTGAAATTGCATGCATGCACGCATACGTTGATGATCTCTACCGCAGACAGGTGAAAATCAAAACCGACAAGACCCACTCCCTTCCGGTAGTAAGAATTTAGTGCAGATCGACTGATGATTCCGACTCCGCGGAGCCAAGCGTGATGTCCGCGACCTTGATACCAACCATGAGCTCCAATTGCCGATCTGCCTCAACAAGACTACAGCATAAAGAAACCATATAAGCAAATAGAAAGGGAAGGGGCTTTGAAACTTCGTCTGGAAGGATTATATCAATTTCCCCAAGACCACATGCCACCCTTGACGCGGCCAGCCGTTTAAAAACCCCTAAATTACTTCTGGAGCTTGACGACACGGCCATCCGGGGTTGTAAAAGTTGCTTTTTCCGGCCCCGTTGTCGTAGTATTTGGACCCGTTTGGGTTCTCATAGTAAAACGAGCCATCTCTGAAGGAAAATGGGTGAGGAACGGATTGCTCAACGCAGCGAGACAGACGAACTTGTTAGAGTAATGGTGACCAGTACCACTGCTCCCATAATCACGCGTGCACCAGTGATTGCCCTAAGGACAGGGATGTCATGTCAGTTACTTACGCATAACGGTAAACAATGGGCGCCTACCTCCTTGTTGGTGCCGTGCCCAGTAACGACGTAGTCGCGATCTGTCATAGTGAGCTCAGAGTATGAGTTGTACTAGGAAGATGACTTTGTTGAGGAGATCAGTGATGGTCTTACGAATGAAGAGAGGCAAGGACTACGAACGGGAAACGAACTCAGTCTTGGATCAAAAGACTGAGGGAAATGATTCGAGAGGAAATGAATTAATACGCTGATTGAGACGGAGAATCAAAGGTGAGCGTGTAAGAGGCGTGCAACGAGAAGTGATTTCGTATGTAAGATAAAAGGATGAGTACGTACAGTAGTGACATCAATAGTCATATCTTAATAGATAGCACTTTCGAGAATTCAGCGGGAGTGCTGCTGTTAATCATGGGTTACTGAGTCATGTCTTACACTCGTATTTGCTGGCATAGCCTCTTGGTCACCTAGACGCGTCTTATCAGTAGTCTTAACTCAGTAAACCGCATGTCCCCAATATTTAAGGTCTGCTTACTACTACAATTGGCGCGGCTGGAATCTGATCAAAGAATGGGATTATTTCCGCCGGTTCTCACCATCTCAACTTATGAAGCCGAGAAGAGACCATGCTAGTGATGCATTGATGGATGGTCCGATAGTCGAAGATAAGACCAACCCGCGCAATGTGCGATGAAGAATAAACTGGGGTAGAACGTGGTTTGCATGCGTCTGAGGCCGTAGACTCATCGATGCAGTAGGGGAACGAGAGTGAAAGGAACTTCATCAGCTGAACGATAGCACCTGGGCTCAATAGGATTCAGTGTACTTCGGCTCTGAGAGCGACACCAGATTCCTCAACCAACAGTAATGATTCAGGCAGGCCCATCGACGTATCAAGCAATATTCATGCATTCACCATCACCGACATTTGCCAGAGTAACGACGTCGATCGAAGCAGTAAGGACAAAAAAAGAAATGTACATGTGAGGAATTCCGGATTTGCTCAAGAACCTGACAAACTGCGTCAGAAACTAATTTCTATACTATTAGAATAGGCAATTCACCTAGAATCACTTCGAGGAACCGTTAAATTTATGAGTGTCCCCGCTGGGAGTAGTGTACTGCGAGTACCCTGTGCCACTGTTGTAGTAAGTGGACCCGTTCGGGTTGCTGTAGTAGTAGCTCCCGTCGGTGTCGTATAATCAGCGCCGCCGGTCAACAAACATTGAAAACATACGTGTTGGAATAGTGATATCCTGAGCCGCTGCTACCGTAGTCGCGAGAGCAAGTAGTGATTGCCCTACGAAAAAGCGTGATCTTGTCAATCACCGCCCCTAACTCGCATGACGGGGCGCTTACCTGGTCATTAGTACCATGACCAGTGTACGTGTAATCTTTTCCGTTGCTAGACATCTTGAACGTATAAGAAGATTATTGGTAGTGGAAGATGCAAGGTGGGTAGTGCACTGGTGAAAGACGAGCTAGCGGCAGTCCTTTTATCTGGTAGTGTTATTTGTTGAATTTTGTCCTGTTGAGAGGTGATCCGTCAGAGCACTGAGCCGGTTCCAGATAGATATATCTAACGGTTCCAGTTCTATGTACCTTAGCTGCCACTGTTACTGACTGTCATCCACCCTAGTTACTGACCATTTTTCTCTTTGCTACTTAAGGATGGCTAGACGCTACAACCCGCACCTCAGTCTTTCTTCCATTGACTGAGGTGCGTATACCATTCACATTATACTATACATGATACTTACTAGCGCCCTACAGACTCGCGTTACCTTAGGTTAGCATACATGAACTAGTCTTTCTTCCATTGACTGAGACTCGCGTTACCTTAGTTCTCGCTCTCCTAACAGGTTATGAGCCCTGCCTAAAGGGTAGCGCCATCTTCTCCTCAAAATCTCTCATTCCCCGCCGATAATACTCGGCTCTGACGTTACCATGTCGTCTTCGGACTCCCTTCCCAAAACTGAACGATATCCGCATGAGAAGCTCACCCTCGACGGATCCAACTATTCTCAATGGGCCACTGGCTTTAAAATGTGGTCCGGCGGCATTGGGCTATGGCCATATGTCAACGGCGACGAGAAGGAGCCATCCCCCCCAGCCACACTCACGGACGTGGATCAAAACATCATTCGCGCAGAGAAACACGCTGAACGAGTACAAGTCTATAAACAACGCCGACTTCTCGCCCTCAGCGCTATGTCCACGGCGATTGATGCGCAGGACTTCGTCCACCTCCGCGATATAGATGACCCGCACATGGCGTGGATTGCTCTAGAAAAGAAGTACCTTCCCCAAAAGGCTATTCGATTCAATCAATACCTGGACCGCCTGTTCACCATTCCCAAGGCGCATGATAGTTCCTCCATCGCCCAAACTATGCAAACCCTCACCGTGCTAAAATCCGACCTTGCAGCTCTCTCTGTCACCACAGCAGTCGCACCCTCCACTTCCAGTGTCATTACAACTGCGGCAAAGGACGAGTACAAGATCCCGGACGCGATCTTCGTGCACGTCCTGTTGCGCACCCTAACCTGACTACTACGACCCCCTTCGTCAAACCCTCGTCAAACAGCGATACTTCGCTGGACTTTCAGCGATGTCGTCAACCGCCTGAAGACTCAGGAATTACAAACAACACCGCGCTGGACCAGTGGCAGTGACCATGTGGCCATGCTGTCTGGACATCGAGGAGGAAACTCCTCCAACCCAAGACCAGCGATCGTGTTCCCGCCGAAAGGTTTTGATTGAGACAAAAGGAGATGGTGGATAGTAGGATGGCGGACCTAAGTGCGGCCATTGTCAAAAGGCCGGCCATGTCTGGGTACAGTGTTGCGCACGGCTCTCTAAGGACGACAAAACTCCAAAGTCAGCACCTCGTCCTTCCTCCCCTGCCACAACCGCCGCTAACCCGTGCCCTCCCTGCCAGACCCAACTGACGAGTCTACCATACCACCTCCATTCGTCCTTACGCTGAAGGATCACTCAGCCAGTATCTCATCAGCCTTGCTTTAACCGGCTGGGTCCTTCCACGTAGACTCTGCCTGACGGCTCACATGGAGCCTGAAATATCACGC